AAAATCATGATTTTTCCGCGCAAGATTACTTTAAGTAGGAAATATTGCGTGCTCGCCTCAAAAAGTTTATGTGCAGACTCGCATTTATTTTCAGCACATTTACTCTTCAAGAATCATTTCGAAAACTTACAATTGTATGAGTTTTCAGAGTTTCGTGGGTGGAATTATAATTATGGGGAGTAGTGTGAATTTTTCTCGGCAAGGCGTTCCCTGTGGGTCGGACACATGACAAAGTACAGATAATGGATGGACGCCGAAACTTACAGAGTGGTATTTAGAAGAAAGCAAGCGCTCTATCGGTCTAATTCTGTCCACTATAAAATGGATGGGTCCAATAACGCAGTCGCATGGTACACAATACAGGAGAAAAACAATATGAGGATGAGGAAATTCCAGTTTAGAGGCATGGGGATGTTTTACAACAAATTTTGTGGCGCTATCGCAAGATACGGGGAAATAAATCCTCTAGGACTAAGCCTAGAAGGGAGCAGGAACTTTGTGGAAATGGAAATTGCTCACGCACCCTGAAGTCTCCCTCCTCCGCTTAAGGCTTGGTCCCGATTTCAACAAGAAGGAGATGATTTATGCGATTCCTAAATGCACTGCCACCACTATGCCCCCGTATCCCGCGATAGCGCCAATTTTGTTCATGTCAAGAAAAATTGTTGCTCTTCTCATACCCAAATGCAACCTTTTTTGTTCTTGTAGCAATTCACTTATTAGATGTCCCCTGTCCAAATAACACTGGACTTTAGTTGCACTCTTTGTCACCCCAAGCCCTTGATATTCACAGAAAAGCTTCTAGACCCTCCCAGTTCGCTACAACTTTGATCATGGTCTGATTAATATTTTAAGTCCATCTAGATTTTATGTTTTGCACCTTTCAGATAGTGATCAACGATTACCTGAAAAAGGTCTATCCAAAGAATGATGCGAAGCCTCCACGACATTATCTTTGCCCTCTAATCAATGAAACTCTCTGTCATCCTATCAAGTATTTGATTATTTGCTTTCCTGCTTACCTTTTTTCGACATCAACTTTCTCGTCTTGAAGGGATGAATCAACCTTTGCGGTGACCGTCTTCAACAGTAACTCGCGAAAGCTGTCGACTGTGGTTACGATACCATACTATTCGAAACAGGTCATGGTGAGGAACGCGACAGGGGCTCGAATAGCTGTGGAGGTGAGACAGATATTGCCTCATTTAAAAGTTCACATGATATGCAGGTTTCAAGTTGGACTGTTTGACAGCCCTAGTTAACCTAGTATGCACGGATTAGCTTTTCCTCCTCGTTCGATCACGAAAAATCGGGGACTAATCCCTTGAGGACTTCTGTCTTCCTTCAAAGACACACTACGACATCAAGCCATTAGGTGCATTAAGCGCTTCTGTGAGTGGGATAGAGCTGCTCACAAAAGTAAGCTAGGTCGTTCTTGCTCCTCGAAACTGTGGAAAGGGTACGACAAAGGTGCTAAAGCCACGGGTCGGAGTTAGGTGCAAAAGTAGCCCCTTGTGGAGTAAGAAGAGTAGGGGGCAAGTCACCCTGCCGTTTGGCTCGTGTGTGTGTCACGTTGCGCAGTTCGCAACGGCACGTCGAGAGATCCTCAACGCACGCTGTATGGGCGGAGACGCAGACGGCTCGAGCATGCGAGTGTGAATGTTCGCGCGAGAGAACGTGTCTAATCGGGCGAAACTGCGCAACGTGGCCGTTGAAAACTGCGCTAATGGTTGTGTTCGGACTTTATTTCGCTGCCAACATAGTGTGTGAGAATCTGCCTAAGGTGCTCAAAAATTTGTCGGTTACGACTGCTGCCTCTTCTCATGTGGAGACCTTCCTAATGTTCCTTGGGCAGCCAGCACTGTATAGGCTTCCATTGTCGAACAGGTGCCGGGGGGGTCTAGATACACTCACCGCGTAACTCCGTCACTTGTTTTGCACGGTCCTCGATAATAGGACACCATGCAGATGAAGTCTCACTCCGGCCCTAGGGAGCCCTACGCACAGAGCCTCGATAGGACGGCCAGTGACGAGTGTCTGATTGGCCTGATGTTTGACATATCTGCTAAGCATCTTTTCAGGGCCCTGTCTGTCTGACAATGAAGGTGGACGCCATGAGGGAACAATACCTTTCCCAAGTAACCTGGTGTGAGCCCTGCCGACGAAGCATTAACTATGATGTCGAAGACTCGGTAGAAATCTCGCTGACACGTCACACTCGAAATGTGCTCCACCGCGACAACTTACTCTGTAAGGGTCTGCCCACCTGAATCCCCTTCTTGATAGGGCAAGTGGCTCTTTTACTGCGCCTCAAAGTGCAGCCATGTCCCCCCTAAACAATGGCCCCGGCTAGCTTTGTGTCTTCTATGTTCACTGCTATTCTTCAGATCGCTGATTGGTACGCGCCACTATGCTTGGACACGCATCTTATTTGTTTTAGCTGGCGACAATCTCTCGCCGTGCGCCGACCTATCGGTCATAGCACAGCCGGCCTCAATACTCAGGGTTGTGGTATTTTTGCTTAGTCTCCCCACTCACGTTCCTCATTGAACTTCTTATTGATTTTTGACAAAAAAAACGTACCCGTCGAATCGATCCGACCCTGTGCCTTTAGGTCCACGTCACTTGGGCTACAACTTGTTACTCGCAATGTAACGGTTTACGCAGCGATGTATCTGCGTCCTTACTCGGCTATGCACTGTATCCTGTCTGTATCCTGTCTGCTCTCTTCGGCTTCCGGCGTCCTTTTGGTCGCCACACTCACAAGAACAGCTTTTATTTTTAAGCAAAATATTCATAATTTTTGACTTTAGAATGTATCTCTGAGTCGAGCTTGACCAACTCCTAATGAGTCGTGGCTGGCTCGCATGCGCACATAGAATAGCTTTTTTCCAGCCGTTTTTAGGTTGCTATTTTTTAAGCTATTTTTGTTTTCTCCACACATAAGGATTGCTCAGAATCTGACTTTGGTTTCAGTTAGTGAAGACATTCCAAGTGGATTCGTTGAGCAACAACAATCGAGCTCCCTATGAGCTTCTGCTACCAGTCGAAGTTGGACCAGTTGGCTATGCCACGTATATCGTCGACAACTCAACGTCAAAGTGAGTAGCATAAGTCATTTTATACTTTAAACGTTGCCAGTAGTAGGCTCGATAGTGAACAGTAGGCAAATATGGTTCTATCCCATTCCTCTCCACGTGCAGCATCCTTCCCTTCCGGTCTCGGGTTCATGCTTGTAGTACGAATGAAAAGCACGTCCGCCTATGCACCGGCGGCGATGCTTAGTCATAATTGTGCTATCAGGTGAAAAGGAATGACGGCCTGTACAGTTCCGGCGGAATCGACGCGCATACCGTAATATTTCTGCACTGTGTAGTATTTCATTGTATTATTGAACAGTGGAGTAAACTAGTCACCTTCGACATTTATTCCATCTTCCTTTCAGAATGCAGCATGATTTGCCCTTTACCCCACTCTGCGAAACTGAGCCGATTTTATAAAAATTTGTCCATGAGTGTGGATTCTGGCTAGAAAAATGCCCACGGAGGTAATAAGCCATAGAAAACGACTATCACATCAGTTAAAGGCAGCGATTACGATAAAGAGTAAGCGCATCGGGAAGCATATGCACCACACGAAGCAGTTACTTGGCTGCCAAGGAAGCGAGGTGTGGCGCTTTCACGACGAAAGGTGCGCTGGTTGCTGAGCAGGACTTCGAAAGCACTCCGCCCCCCCCCGATCCGC